GAGCATGTTTTCTCTGCCCAAGAATATCTCTCTTTATCAAATGCCACTTTCACTGAGTTATGATAATGTGCAATTATTAGGATACTTTGAAATTAGTATTAACATTTGAATCGCTGATCATCTTTGATGAACAAATCAGCACTGTCCTTTTGCATATGAATAGTGAAGGAAAATATAAGTTTTGTTCTGTTACAGCTTTACTTCTCTAGTTCCACTATTATTGTCAACAGAACATGTTTTATTTTCATGTAGCGGAGTATTAGGTGGTAGAGAACAGATGAGGGTATGAGCATCCAGCGATGTTCTCGGACTAATCTCTTGGCAGTGCATTTATTAGATGTTTTGTTGATCTAAACTTTCATCTATAACACAAGCTTCGGTATGGTCATATTGATGCAGTACAGTCATAAGATAGAGTGGATTAAAACAAACATATCAGTGCTTATGTTACAGATGAAAGTTTCAGTAAGCAAAACATGTAATAAATGCATTATCAGATGGTTAGTCTGAGAACACCATTGGAAGAACATACCCTCAAATCTTGTGCCCAGTTACATATGTTTAGGGTCAAGATTTTACATAGTGTCTCATGGTGCTTTGATAAACTTTTCTTTTAACCAATCTTATGTTCTTGAGGATGCCCTTGACTCTGTTAGAATAAGACTCGACTTTTTATTTTTTGCATGTGGTATTATACCTCACTACTTCAGTACTGACTCTTATAATTTGTAGCTTGCTTGAAACTGAAAAAGTACTATTAAACTGTTTTATAAGTTAGTTATAAGTCCATGATCCATTTGCTTAGAGAATTTTGAATTGAAATTCATTGATTTATAGCTGATACATAAGTTTTAAAAGAAATCATGTTTGATTACATAATTGGAAATTAGTATATTGTATTGCTAGATATAACTTAACTGCAATTTAATTGCCTTTTCCCAAAACATTGTGGAAATCAGGTCTTAATGCTGTAACTTTTATTTTAATCTTGGCAGGCACATGAACTCACTGGTGAAAAGTTGAAATTACGTGAGGTAGTACCAATTGACATTTCCAATGACCCAGTTAAGTCTACAGACTACAAAGCTGATGAAGACCCGACCAAATTCAAGTCTGAGAAGACTGGTCGTGGGCCACTGGTAGGCCCAGAATGGTGGAAAAAGGTAAGGGAGACATTGAGAATGATCCAAACATTGGAATGAATATAGATGTTTGATTAAAGTATTCCATACCATCCTAAGACATTTTTTAAGTGTTGCTTTTCAGCTGTTGGAAAAATTCTATTTGTGGATATGAATGTACTGAAATTATTATAGTGAAGCAAATGAGGAGTGTGTCCTAAGAATGTTGTGTGCCTTCCCTTTCAGTGTGATCCAGTAATGACATGCTATAAGCTAGTGACATGCGAGTTCAAGTGGTTTGGACTGCAGACACGCGTGGAAAAGTTCATCCAGGACATTGAGCGTAGACTTTTCACCAACTTCCATAGGTGAATTTTGTTTAATTTTTTGGGTAATTCAGTTTATCTATCAATTCATACTGTCCCTCTGGCTGAGATGAGGTTTCATTACATAAAAGTACCTGCTTTAAGTTTTACAACCTAAACATTTGTCTGCTTGCATTGCCCTGCTGTGGCCATTGAGGAGAAACAACCATAAAAAAGTAGGCTTAGCTGCATTACTTGAACAGTGGCATATACTGCAGCCAAGACCATAGAGACTGGAGTAAATTTATGTTTCCCGCACATCCAGCTTTCCCTTCAATCCGCTGACTTGCACACATGGTAATACCTAGTTTGATATGGTGCTGGAATCTCTGATGATGAGTGGGTTAACTTAGGGATGTGCAACTTTTTATTTCTTTTCTTCAGAAAATATCAGGATTAGGTTTGTTTGGATTCAAAGTGTCAAGTCTCTTTTTGGGGAAGAGCATCACAGTTTTATATAGAGACGGGATAACATAATTAATCAGAAAAGTATAGTAATTTTTTTCCTCCAGGCAAGTGTTCTGTTGGATGGACCGATGGCATGGGATGACCATGGATGACATCCGCCGCTTAGAAGACAAAACAAAGGACGAACTAGATTCTGTAAGCAAACAAACAAAATATATACTGTTGAATAGCAATTACTTTTTGTTGAGTATATAATTTATTGATTTTTTTTTTGACTCGACTCATAGGAGTCAAATAAAAATCATTGATTTATATGGAACTTACAAATGATTGATCATTCATCCTCTTGCAAATCTTGGGCTTTTGAGCTTTTGAGCTTTTGAATGAATTAGGGTCACAGCCAATTATGAGAAAGAATAGTGTTTCTGAAATCTGTGCATGAGTAGGACTGATAATATATCTAGTATTTTGTAATATAAAGTAATTCCTTATTAAATTTTCCCCTCATCTTTCTCCCATAAACAGCAAAGACAGCAGGGCGAAGTACGAGGCACCAAAGGCGAGTAACAGATGATCCAGACATCTTTACTTGCACTGGATCATGCTGGGAGCCCAGGCTGCCAGCCCCAACCCTGCCATATAATATAATGTTCAGGATACTGTGATCCATGCCAGCTCTGCACTGAGCAAGATACAAAGGCAAGCAAGCAGTTGACAGGCATCACACTTCTTCCATGTGATGGGGTGCTCTGGAACCTCCTCCAGTCCTGTTGTTGCGAGCCTTCATACAAAGAATATACCATTATAGTTACCAGGCAAACCCAAGTTGGAATTACTCACAGTCTGTTAGAATTAATTTGAATTGTAATTGAAGTTATCTAGATAAATTTTTTTTTATTTTATTTATTTTTTATTACTATTATCATCATTGTTTTGTTCAAGTCTCGCTGATTTTTATCGTAAGATTATAGAAGTTGTGGCATGAATACAAGGGGATGCAAAGACATTGAAGACAGTGTTAGAGAAGAGTATTAGCCCTTATTGCTTGTACAGTCTTGAAAGGGAAAAATATCCTTGTTGCTGGATAGAAGCACTTTTAGCCCATAGCAAAGGAGGACAGCAGACCTGCTAGTTCACAAACATTTTTATCATATAAGCACTACTTCTGTACTGCAACTGTGAAATATTACATGTACCCCGAGTTACCATGCGTCTGAGATAGATAGCTGTTTCGGCATGTGTCGAGTTCAGATTAAAAGGTTTACTTCTGTGTTTTCTCTGGGCATGAAAAAAAAAAATACTTGTTTCTGCTTGTATGATGGGGATTGTCTTAGAAATAACAAAAATTGTTTTAAAATCAAACTGTTTTGTTCAGTGTCTTGGTAGGTACATGCTCACAGTATATATTTTACGTTTCCAAGTTGAAAGTTGGGATTTTAATTTTAATGTCAATTGGAATCAAAATTAAAGGGTTCTGACAAGTAGAATATAAGGTCAACTTGTTCACATTTTAACTTGTATTTTACTTGATTTTGTATGTTACAAGTGAGCCATCTTTCCCTGATGTATGGTACAGGACCTTTACCAATGATGTTTGGCAACACAATACTTCATTCCTTATAGTCCAGTGTGATGTAAAAGAGTGCAACTTGATCTTTGATTAATTTTGAGTAAAACATGTGAGGAACTTACCAGAATAGTCAGGTTAAGTTAGTAGGCACTCTTGATTCTCTCTATTCTAGACAGAATAGTTGACCTTTAAGGTTATTATGTATTATTCAGCAATACAAATAACATGTAGAATGGAAACAGATGGAAACTCTTTAGATTATACGTTTGATTTGATCTGTGCCATGTACATGCTGTTTAGTATTTGGTGCCTCTTGAGATTTAATTGATGAAATTTAGGGGTGGGTTGGGTGGGTAAATATCAAGTCATTGCCAAATTGAAAACCAGTGAAATTGTGATTCTGTGTCCCTTGCTCATTCATGCATTGTATGGAAAAAAAGTTTAATGAATACAAGTTAGGACTCACAATTTTTAGGGATAATTAAAAATTAAACCCATGTTGATAATCTATAAAATGATAATGACTATTAAAAGGTATGGCAAAGATATTTTCTTGTTTCACCTTTTGCACCCTGCATTTGTTTCTGAAATAGTTGCTCCAGTTGTAGAGGAAACACTGTTGCATCCATCCTGTTTCCAGCTGTGAGGGTCCCTCTAAGGAGGCGCCAGGCATGTCCATGGCACATCTTGCTGCTTTATTGAAGCCACGACTTTCTCTTCCTATAGGCTTTCTTCCAGAATTATTTCTAGAAGAGATAAGTTCATAGGCAGGATCATCCCTCAAGAAATCAAGTCCAAATCCTTACAGCCTGAGTTGGCTGACCTAGATTTTGCAAGTAACGGGACCTTGCCAGTCTCATGGTGCAGTTGTTGGCTGGTTATCGATTCCTGCCAGTTTTACCCCAGGATTTGAGACAAGGATATGTGAAAGGCTTCAAGACAAGTCATCAGGTCATGGAAGTTAGTCTAAGTTTTGCGGTCATCAGGGCCTTGAAGACATGTAGCCTGGTCCTTCTGTACAGGTACCAACATCTCTAGATACTTTTGCTGTATGAATTCATGGCTCCTGCCGCAGCCAAGCCATCTCCCGACTTTCTAGTCTGACAGTCCAGAGGCATGAACTATATTAGTTGAAAACTATTTCTATAATAAAACTGATAAGGAAAAGATAAGTTAGTTTCATGATATGTGAATGAAATAGGGAATATCTATTTTACTTCTACAGTCCAGCAAAACCTGGCAGATCAGACATGACAACAGTAGGTGGCTTAGTACACAACACTGGCTAGTGCTTTTGCTGAATGGGCAAAACATTAGTCATGCATGCACATTGTATGAACTTGCACACTACCCTTCCCCTCACAACTGGTTCACAAGAATGTCAAAAATACATAAATGAATTCCAAATTTCAGCAAATGTCAAGTTTTGCTTTTGACTTTTGGAATAAGGAATAAAGCTTGAAGAATACATAAAATTAAAGTTTATTAAAAAGAAAATTTAACTTGTGCCCTCTTAAGGAGTAAATAAAAAAAATATTGTATAATAAAAATTTATTCACAAAATACTTTTAAGATTCCATTAACAGTTGTATCCTAGTCTTCATCCAGATTATATTACTGGATGCAGATTTCCACATTCTCCTCTATAAGGCTACAGAAAAGTCTAACCTTAAAACATTTTATTCAACATTTATCCTGTTTTCAAAGGATCACACACATGCCAAAACCTATTATATTGCTAAACTCCAGTGCAACAAAAGCACTTGAAAATGTGGCACACAGATGAGACTTCAGCAAGATAGAGCTACTTTATGAATGTTAGTACTAATTTCAGGACATTTTGGTGAACACTTCAAAATTTTAACAATATACAATATTAGTTGTCTGAAGCTCTCTCCCAAAATCAGGTCTCTTTACGCAACAAAAGCATAGAGCATGAAATATGTACACTAACTGATGCCTTGATGGTGAGCCTGACTGACTAGATTTACCTGATCTGTCTAAATACAGGATATTCATGTAACTATAAATGTGAAATAATGAACAAGGATGTGCAACAATCACAGCAAGACATCTGATGGCTAGAATTCAACAATGGAGATGGAACAGACTGGAGTTCCATCAATGGGATCCTCATCACCAAAGTATACACAAATAGAAACCCTAATATCTATGGTATGTGTTTGTTTGTAGGGGGGGGGGGGGGGGGGTTAAAAAGTAATTGAATATTCATGTTCTGGCCTTATCAAATTTGTTTCATCCATCAATAATAATAATGATAAAAACTGCATCATAATTTTAGTGACCATATCTATAGGACTATGATCAATATCACACTTTTAATACTTTTGCATCCTTCACTAATCGGAAAGATTATAAAAGCCCCTGTAGAAAAAAAAATATTAAATAAAATAAAACAAAGATTTAGAGAAAAAAAAAAAAAAAATAAAACAGATTTAGAAAAAAAAAAAATTACAAAACACATGAAAACATACATGCACTTTGCTAATATACTTCGAGTGCATGTCTCACGATCCTCAAGAAAATCCCACCATCTAATGTAAATATCACAAGCTTCCACATTTCTGTTAAGGTGTTTGCATAAATGTACAAAATGTACTTTTCTTTATCAACTGGCTTACATATAGTACTACCAACTAATCATTATGCTACAAACAGAAGCTTAAGTCCATGACAACACCACAGGAGCACTGCTGTTCTGACAAACAAGGATTTACAAAGGGGTTAGCCTTTTTTAAAGATCTTTTCATGACATTAAAACTACATGGAGGGGGGGGGGGGATGGCAGAACAGTTAAAAATAAATAGAAGCACTGAAATGAAAGACTCGAGTACAAACATGCACAATGTCTGTTTATCAAAACTTCTGCATGAACAGAATTCGCTCTTGGAAGTTTTATTTTCATGACAGAAAAGGGGTCATAGACTAAACCTTCCTGTGCAAAAAGCTTAAAATTTGGGTCTGATGGATTCAAAACATGGACAATACTTGAGAAAATTTCTAATCAAATTCCTGTAGTCACTGCAAATTGTACAGACCAATATTACAGCTACTCAAAGATATGTTCAGTATTCCCCTGTTTACATAGCTTACAAATTTCACTTTGCATACACGAGGATGCTACAAAGAAAAAAAATAAAAAATAAAAATATATATATATATAAACACAGCTGAACAACATGAAAATACTGTTTTCATCCAACAAAAATATACACAGCTTAGATTTTCCTTTTCTCTGGCAATTATTTCCTTGAGTTGCAGGAATCCCTTAATAGCCTCCTTAAGAGAATTGGAAATCCCTCTCCCCAAGTAACAGGTGCCAGAGAGAGCAGAACTAAAGTACTAACCCAAACAATCCTCTAATGAGAACCGTCATGGAAGTTACCTTTATACTCTGTGCATATGTGATTTCCATGGAGACGACTTGGATTCCGGTTAGATAGTCTTTCTTAGTGGGTCATTTGGCCAAGTGGTTTAATTCTGCTCTCTCTGGTACCTGCTGCTTAGAAGGAGTGAGGCTTCGTCCGGGAGGCTATTTAGGATTTTATATAGAATGCGTTGCTGCATTCTTTCTTCTTGCAGGAAACTTTTCTCCTAAAATAAAACTTATGTTGCTACCATGCACCACAATGTGTGCTTTATGAGCACCATGTACTTGGACTAACTTCTACAAAATTAATCTTTTATGTAAGCTGGGGTGAAATGATGAAACATCTCTATTTGATGATAACATTGTACCTTGCTGACTGTTACTGTGTGTTTGTGTCTCTTTGCAACTAAGATCCACATACACACAGTCCGTATTTGATTTTAAGACATCGCTTTCATGAATATTGGCAAAATATGGACAGAAGCAAGTTTTCTCCTACTATATTCATCAAAATATTTACCCAAGTTGTGAAAGCTTATGAACCCACAAATATTAAGCTACATAATAAATAACAGTAACACTTAACTAAAAAAAACTGAGAAAACAAAAGAAAAACAAAATCATAATTACAAGCAGTAAACAAGG